TCGATGTTTATGCGTTCCATTTAATTTTTGACAACTGCTAATTTTCCTAGATTCATACTTCATACATTCCATGTTCCAATTACTAATGATGTTTACAGCTGTTTCTCTTCATTTTGAGTTGTGCCCCATCAGCAAATAAAGGTCCTAAGGGCTTTACTCCCCCAGGCTTTACTCCATTCATGTCACCACAGTCAACTCTACTTTGAGGAGGCAGCTCTTGCCCAGTTGCATTCTGAGAGCCTTCCAACCTGAGGGGCTCATTTTCTGGCACTCTCTCTAACAGTGTTCCTCTGCTATTCATAAGGTTTTCAGTGACTAAATATTCAGAAGTAATTCATCACTTCTTCTTCCTAGTCTGTCTTGTGTCTGGAAGCTCATCTGAAACCTGTCCACCATGGGTGACCCTGCTGGTATTTAAAATACCGGTGGCATAGCTTCCAGAATCATAACAATTTATAAGCCACCACAGTACGAGAAACTGACAGACAAGTGGTGGGGGTTATAAGTAATAGGATCTATATTAGAAAGGACAAGGATTAGAAAGCAATTGATCAAAGGTGGAGAACTTCGGTGAGCAGAAGCTATAAGAAACCATGGGGTGGGGGCATAGGTCATAGATTGCTTTGGGTGGGGAACAAGGAAATAACCTTTCTCCAGAAGTTATGGATTCCTCGGTGTAGTCATCCTGACCTAGAAGGTAGGATTCATAGAAACCAGACAGAAAAGACCTTCCTTCTTGTATAACCAGGATGCTGAGCGCAATCTCAGTAACACTAGGGTAAACACAAGGGTGGAAATGAGAGTTAATAACTAAAGAAAAGTAAATGCTTTACCACTGTACTTATTCAAGGTTGTTGTTGTTAAGTGCGTTTGAGTTGATTCCAACCCATAGCGACCCTGTATAGGGTTTCCAAGGAGCAGCTGGTGAGCTTGAACCACCAACTTTTTAGTTCAAACGACTTTGCAGTCTGACTGACGCATTAGCCCACAGCGCTGATGAATAATCAAATATCCTTACCGCTCACGTATCTTCTCATCTGTAAAAAGGAAATTAATTATACCTATCTCTTGGCTTATTGTGAAAATGAATTTAAATAAGATCAAGACAGAACAGAGCACATGAAATACCTGGCACCCAGCAGGCACTCAGCAGAAGATAGCAACTGCTGTTCACCAACTCTGCTTTCCACTGGCTTTGACCCAAACCAGGCCCCATTAGTTGCATGTGGAGAATTGTAGTCTATTTCATATTTAGCAGCTCCTCTGAACACTGCATGGGCTACCCAAGCAGTGATCCTGTCATTCCACATCTGCATAGCAAGATCCCTGTCTCCAAAAGTTTAAATGATAGAAGAACCTGATAGGTAAGCATATATCCACTCAAATGAGCAAAATAGATTACTCAGTCTCCTGTCACTGGGTCTGAAGGGCCAGAAAGAGTTTCATTTTAAGAGAAAGATATAGATAAGATCATCTTTCTTCCCATTACTAAGGTGCTTCAGGAAAGAACATTGAAAACTGATACTGAGCTCAAACGTAAAAAGACCATCACATAGCTCAGAGTTAATTATAAGTAATTTTAATGAAACAATTTGTTCCCTCCAGTTTCCATGTTCTTCTCAGAGGTGTAATACAATATGCTCAAGAGCCACACGCTTATAAATTTATAATAAACACAGCCCTTCAGCTCACTTAGACCATGGTTCTTGGCTGAGGCTTAGCGACAAGTGTCACATTCACAGTTGCCAGTGAGCCCAGCAGTGTAATGTCACTTTTAAATAGAGAAGCACAGTCGATAGAACCAGAACCATACAGTGGGAACAAATGAACGATTCCTGACTCATTGCTGAACTTATTTACAAAGAGAACAATCCTCTGCTCAAGTCCACAGCTCAGCTCTAATTTTAGTAAATAGACAGTAGTGTCATAAGGCTGAAAATTGGATGCTTCCAATGATGCCAAAGCCCTGGTCCTCTAGGGCCTTCCTCACGCGATAGGTCTAGTCAGAGTCTGGCCCAGCACCCAGGAACTCCATGCACCTACCTGGGTAGGGAGCCTGGGCCTTGGAGGCCCTCCCCTCCATGGCTGCAAGACCTGCCTTGGTGGCCATAGGCCTCCTGGGACCAGGACGCCCCAGCACTGCTCCCGGGCCCACCCTCTGCTGTCCCCGAGGCGCCCCCGCACCAGTGCGGCCACCAGCTCTACTCACCGTGACTCCGTATTTGAGCGCGATGCCCTGCAGCGTGTCGCCGGCGCAGACCCGGTGTTCCACATGGCGCTCAATGACGCCGGCGCCCAGAGGCACCCGTACGCTGGCCGTGCTGCCGTACCAGCGGGTCTTGGTGCGGGCCAAGCTCAGAGATAGCTCGGTTTCCTCGGACTCCGAGCCGGAGCGGGAGCGTGGCGGCGGTGAGCACGGAGCCCTGGGTCGGGATACGCGGAGGCCGCCTTCCCGCAGAGACAGCGCGGGCGAGGAATCCGCCATGGGTCCTGCCGAGGCCGCCAGGTCGGGAAGCTCGCCCAGGGGGCGGCGCCTACTCGGCCACCTCCTCTCACTCTTCACAGCGGCTGCGGAGCGCAGTTCCGCGGGGGCGGCGGGCGGGAGGCCAAGACAGGGAGCTGGGAACCCAGCATGGCAGGCGCCTCCCTCTGTTGCGTCCCGCCTTCCCCGGGCGCCCGCCTCAGAAACACACCTGCAGGGGAAAGATCGGAAAGGAGTTCCCGCAGGGCTCAGCAGCCTGACGCCACCTCCACCCTGCCCTCTGGTGCGAGGAAGAAGGAGGCCCACAGTCGCCAAGAGTGAGCCATCCTTTGACGTGCGAGGCCCCCGGTGGACCCCTGTGCCATGCCCACCAATCACTTGGCCCACACAGCCCTGGCCTAAATGCAGCCAAAAGGCAAAGCTTTGCTCTGCCTCTTATTGATGTTCTGCAGGAGCCTATTTGCTCAGACCTTCAACATTTCTCAATGCCAAGGCTATGTCCCTCCCCCAAGCCCAGTTGTCCTGATGACCTCAAAGCCCACGTCACTATGACCATCAAACATACAGCTTCTTATACCTCATCCCAATATCCTAAACCAGGTCCTGTCAGTATTACAGTGAGTGCTTCTACAACCTAATGTTGCTGTTGCTAAGTGCTGTTGAGTCCACTCCGACCCATAGAGATCCTCCTGTTTCCAAGGACCAGCTGGTGAGTTTGAACCACCGACCTTGCAGTTAGTTGAAACAGCTTTGCTGTCTGGCGCATTATCCCACAGCGTCATACCAGGACCTGATGGATTGCCTCAAACTATCAATTGCTTTGGTTTTACTCTCCTCCACGCACCATGCCAATTTTAGCTCTGGGCTGCCCTGAAGCCTGACTACTTAACATATTTTTCTTTTCTTTTCTTTTTTAATGTTTTATTGTGAATTATATGATAGTTTACATGAGAGAACCTCAGTTCCATACTCATTCCATCATATATCATTAAATTGCCATGGTTCCAATCCCCTCCATGCATCATCTTTGGCATATCCTAGAAGCCCGTGCTCTACACTCCCCCCACACTCCCCTCAATCTTCGGCCCACACTTCCTCTCCCTCTCTGGATCCAGAGTCCCCAGCCACTTCATCCCTCCATGTCATCATCTCTGTCTCCATCTCAGGCATCCCCAGTTCTCTGGGTGGGGTCCCATTCTCGGCTCTTATCCATTGGTGGTCCCAGAGACCTCCGCTCCTAGACTGGAGAAATAATCGCTCTCTTCCTTGCTATAAAACATCTACCCTTGCATTTCCAACCCTCACAATCCGTGCTGATAACCATTATTCACTACAGTATCGCACGTAACCCATCTGTATTTCATTTCATCAGCTCCACCTAGACAAATTGGATAGTACTCACTGGTGATTCTGCCTTCCTCCATGTCCCCTAGCTCTAGGTTCCCTCTTGAAAGCTTGTAAGCCAGTTACTTCTTGCCTTTGTAGTCCCTCCTTCCCCATTTGGGTATCCAATGTCCAAATTGCCCATCTCTGTCTACTCTGTGTGTGGAGGGGGTGGGAATGTTTCTTGCTGTAAGGATTTGTTGCCTCTTTTGTGTTACTGCATTCGTATGCATAGGTCAAGTTCATCAGCTTGGATCAGCTCAATCTTCTCCCCCACCCCCCTGCTTCTTTCTTCTCCTGGTTGAGCTCTGATCATCCAGTCCTGGTCATGTGGGTGTCATCTGCAAGTGTGGGTGTTCTTGTGCACATGCCCTCTCTTCCCATCAGCCGGCAGCTCCATTCTCCACTTGAGTCCTCCGTGGCCATGTCACTGACTCTGAGCCCAGGAGTCCTCGGGTCTCCTCGCACTGCTTGCCAACCACGTCCCCAACTGGATCCACAGAAGCCCTCTGAATATTGTGAGGCTTAGCTCGCTGCTTCATTGCTGCCTTTATTTCTCCCCAACGGTGTGCATCCATGTATTTTTCTTATAGGTTGCCTCTTTGACACCCTGAACTCATAAGTCTCCAGGGTGTTTCCATTAAATTCACCAATGACATCTGAACTCTTTGAACACCCTCTCAACTTTCAGGCTTCAAATGGTATTCTACAGAGTGGGTGAGCATTACTAGAAGCTAGTATCCTAGTTTCTGTTTCTACTTTAGACAGCTCTACAAGAAGAGGGACCCGCCCCCATACCATGGGCAGGTGAGGAGAGTAGATGTTTGATGCAATGGCTCAAGTTTCACTATGTTGCTGTGCTGGACAGAGGCAAAGGGAAAAGCTCAGGAGACACAAAGAAATGGCAGAGAAACCAGTGGTAGTCCCGCTCCATCACTCTCCCACTCAAACCCACACAACAGCATGGATATAAAGTCACACTGGTATTCTTTTTGATCATTCATTCTTTGTCCATACCTAGTTCTACTCCTTAGCCTTTACACTCCATATATTCCCACCAAACAGAGACACTTGAACCTCCTTCTTTGTTGCTTCCCACAGCTTTGCATATGCTATGCCTGTCACCTGAAATGCCACTCTTCTAATGCCCTCTGGCTACATTTTTTGAATCTCTAAGGTCAATCTCAAATGATACATCCTCGTGAACTCTTTCCTGATTATTACCCACCTGTCCCCATCCCCCCGCTGTCAAATTATTATGCTCATTAGAACCCCAAGGTTAAGTTATCCATGCATTTGTCTTATCCCCTCTATTAGATGCATGCTCCTGGGAGGTGTAACTGGGCCTTACTCATCTTTTTAGTTTCAGCAATGCCTAACTCAGTGCCTTGAAACATACTTGATCAAAAGTAGTAGTAGTTGTTAGTAATAGTAAAAAGATGCTAATTAAATTAGGTTGACTAATAAGTCTAACAAGTGTGCTTGAATCCTTGTGTGGAGCTGTAGGATAAGCACTGGACCACAAGGTTAATTTGAACTGCAAAGTCAGCAGTTCAGATCCACCAGCCACTCTTTGAAAACTCTATACAGGGTGACTATGAGTCGGAATTAACTCAACAGCATTAAACAACAAGTTTGCTATGAATGAACTTTCAGATTATATTAATCCTTAGACCCAAGAGAGTCAGAACCCCAAAGATATAGTTGTGAACTATATATAGGTCAAGAAAGCAGAAATTCTAGATTTTTTCAAAGTGTTCTCTTAAAAGAGTATATTTCCCTACAGGTTAAGGATATCAGTTATTCACCTCAATAGCCTTCTACACCTCAATATAAAATGAATCATATTCAATTCAAGTTCCATATCTATGAGGGGGCTTCAAAATGTTCATGGACAAATGGAATTAAAAGACAATGACATTTTTCTATGAATTTTTTGAAGCCTCTTCCTACTGTTGACATCTTATTACATATTACATTCAGTAATAGGTAGGTAATAAGAATACCACAATGAAAGAGTCTGTCCTCAAGAGTTTATAAGCTAATAGTGAGACAGCACCTACTATGTTCTCCACCAAGGAAAGGTTTTACTGAAGAACTGGAAGTTTTTATTTGAAGATTAAAGAACTTGATTGTATACGATACTATTAGGTGTTCTTTTTAAAGTGTTTCATGATCAACTAATTGGGGAGGTTTTACATATAACATTTCCCTTTAGAAAATTCACAATATACATTAGAATAATGAAGGTTCTAGAATTCCTGCAGTAAAGTAAGCTACTGGATTTTGCTTGATAGTATATTTCCCAAACTCATTTTAACATGGAACTTTTTTCCTCAGAATTTCTACACTTTGGAAAGTGCAGAATTAAAGGGAAAAGGCAGGCCTAAATAAAGAATAAGAAAGATTGTTCTGAAAAGTCAGAGAGTCCCAAAAGAACATTAGTTACCTCAAGTGAGGAGGAGAAGCTCCAGGAAGTAGAAAAGAGGTAAGGTGATTTATTTACTTTACAAAATGACCAAGGTTTCTATAACAAGGCAGGAAAAAGTTACCACCAAAAATGTATAGACTTGAAAGCCATCCCATTTCCCTCTTACTAGGGCTAATTTCCAAGCTTTCCCTGGGCCATATAACACCTCCAAAACAAGTGAACACTGCTCTGGAATAAATCCTGTACAATGATCAGAATTTTGTCCTTTTCATGATTTTTACTAGTGTTTCTTCAGATTCCAGAAATTAATTAGCTTGAATTAATACTTATTTCTCATCTCTCTCATTCTTCACCTCAGACTTCAGACATATTGTCAGGAGGGACCAGTCTCTGGAGAAGAATATCATGTTTGGTAAGGTCAGAGAAAAAGAGGAAGACCCCCAGTGAGATGGATTGGCAAAGTGGCATCATCAGTGGGCTCAAGGGTGGCAACAATTGTGAGGTTGGCCCAGGACTGGGCAGTATTTTATTTTGTTGTGCACAGCGTCACTGTGAGTCAGTACCGACTCGGCACCTAACAACACCACCACTAATACTTATTTTATATTTTATAGTTAAGATCCTTTGTAAGTTGTTTTTCCCTAGATACCTAGGATATTTCCAGAAATCTGGGCTCCCTATAAATTTAAGAACTATTTCTCCCTGATTCAAAGAATGAAAATTAAAATATATAGTTCACAGCTCAGATTGTATTTTGTCTACCTACGATATAGAGCAAATCTCACAATTTATGGCATTTGAAGACTTCCCTCTGAGATCATAGTAAGAGGAAGATAAAGAAATGAAGATTGAAAACAATAAACACTTGCTTAAAAGACTCCTGGTGCAGTAATGTAGGTTAAGCACTGGACTGCTAACCCCAAGGCCCAAGGTTGGCAGTTCAAACCCATCAGTTGCTCTTTGGAAATCCTACTCAGGGTCGCTATGAGTTGGAAACAACTCAGTTGCACTTAAAAAAAAAACAGTAAAAGGATTTTAAAGAAAATGGATAGATGGGGAACAGGCATATTGAAAAATGTATAAAATTTTTCTAGTATTGGTGAAAGATATGAATTCTCTGATTGAAGAAGCAAAATCAATAAACATCGATTTGGAAAACAGAACAATCAAACCCCTAAAAGCATTATAG